AAAAAAAAAAAAAAAAAAAAAACAAAAAACAAAACAAAAAAAAAGAGAAAAAATAAAATAAAAGGGAGATAAAAAAAAGTTCCATGATCAGAGAACACTTTTTTTCTTCTTTTTCTTGCATGGGTTTTTAGCCAGATCTGAACCTCTGGTTGTCTCTCTCTTTCAGCATAAGCCCTAATCATCATTAAGGGTTTTCAAGGACAAGGAGAGTAAGTTTCCTTCACATTTTATTTTTAATTTATTAATTTTTTTCTCTGCAACTAATATATTTTCAGCTGTTTTATTTAACTCTCCCTTTTCATTTTTTATTTTTCTTGGCAGTTAGCGAGAATTTGGGGTATATTTTGAGCGTTACACTAAGGGAAATAAAATAAAGATAGTGTCAAAGGGACAGTTCACACAGTCAACTCTTTGTTCTTTTGTCTTAAAAATCTTGTTTTTTTATAGAAAAAAGATAAGGGAAAAAAATGAAAAACAAGAAAAGTCCATGGCTAATCTGTTGTTACTTGTAACAATCTCGTTTGCTTTGCTCAGACACTCCCAGAAAGAATCTATTAAAACTCAACGCACTAACTTCTAAAAACCCCATTACACACCCAAGTCAGAAAATTATAAGAGGAGATAGAAAAGAAAGAGAGAGAAAAGGGAAGATTGATAGAGAAAAAAAAGTTTCTAGGGTTTCTTGGTGAAGATGTCTAGGGATGTCGATGAGGCTCGATCGAAAAAAAATTCCGGCAATCGAGGATCGATTAAGTCTATGCTTGTACTCAACAAATTAAAAAGGTTTGTAACCTTCGATATATTATTATTATTTATTTATATTTTTTTTACAATTGTTTGGAGAAGAATATTAATGGACAATTATTTGAATTTTACTTAATTCAATGAATTATCCTGAAGAAATTTGTGATGGAAGATGTGTGGCCCGAGACAAACCATTTGACTTCCTTCTACATTTAATATTTTATTTCATAGCATACATTCGCTTTTAATCTTGCATTTAAGAGTTAAGAGTGGTCAGTATTTCATTCTCAGTCTCAATATCCTTTTCAATTAAAAGCCACTTGCAAGATCTGAATAATTAGGCCGTGTGATACCTATTTAAAAAGCCTTATATAATTAATAGCTGCAAAATAATCGTTTAAGGTTCTTGTCACAGCATTTTGTCAAAGGTGGAAGAATATATATAAATGCTGATTTAGAATCATGCATTTTCTGTTGGTTTAATTAATTAAAGCTTTAAGTTTGATTCTTGATTCATTATTAATTCTTTAATAAATTGATGCATTATTTTATCCATTTTCCATACTAGATAATATTAATTGTTATATTTTATTGAATCTTTGCTTGGATTATATCGCTTTTTATCCAGATGTTTGGTTGATTCTAAATGTCAATCATTGTTTCAAGTTTTACTATGTTATCTCTATGCAATGAAGTTACTAACAATTCATACCAAATTCTTAATTCATGACTACAATCATATTGTGGTGCAGTTAGCCAGCCAGGCCCTAGCTCAAGATTCACCGAAAGCCTCGATTTTACGCGCATTTGATCCGTTAAAAGAAACAACGATGTTTCAGCCCAACATTTTCGACAGTCATCACCACCTTCTCGACATGAGTCAAAAAACACCCGAAAACGAGATGGACCTCATTAGAGATGATGAATATGAGAGTAAATCGGGCACGGATTTGATGGAGGCACCATCTGGAGACGATCAAGATCCAAATCAACGGCCCAAGAAAAAACGATACCATCGCCACACGCAGCACCAAATCCAAGAAATGGAATCGTATGAAGATTTCACGTTTATTTTCAATCATTTTTTATTTATTTATTTATTTTTATTTTCTCAATTTAATACTCTAAATAGGTTTTTCAACGAGTGCCCCCACCCGGACGACAAGCAACGGAAGGAGCTCGGGCGTCGACTAGGACTCGAGCCTTTGCAAGTCAAGTTTTGGTTTCAAAACAAACGTACCCAAATGAAGGTTAGTTAACTAGTAAATTCAAAAATTTCAAAGCCTTTTGTTTTCTTTTTTTTTGTATGATTCTTTAACTGTACTTGACTTTATTTTGTACATATATATACTTTCAGGCCCAACACGAGCGCCATGAAAACACTCAGCTTCGGAACGAAAACGAGAAGCTAAGGGCAGAGAATATACGGTACAAAGAAGCCTTGAGCAATGCAACTTGCCCCAACTGTGGTGGCCCGGCTGCCATTGGCGAGATGTCGTTCGACGAGCAGCACCTCAGGATCGAAAATGCTCGTCTAAGAGAAGAGGTATATAAATAAGTACAGGGAAAAAAAAAAAATTATTCATTAAATATCTAAATCTATGATGAAGGTACACTTGGTAAANAAAAAAAAAAAAAAAAAATCATATATTAATATTATTAAGTGAATTTGTGAATACATAGAATAAAATTAATATAAATATAATACAATTGTGACTATGCAGATTGACAGGATATCTGGAATAGCTGCAAAGTATGTGGGCAAGCCCATGCTCTCATACCCACATCTTCCCACCGGCTCATCATCACGCTCCCTCGAACTTGGAGTCGGAAATTTCGGGCCGCAAACGGGCCTTACCGGTGAGGTTTACGCTGCATCCGATCTTCTCAGGTCTGTTTCGGGCCCAACAGACGCCGACAAGCCCATGATTATCGAGCTGGCCGTTGCAGCTATGGAGGAACTGATCCGTATGGCTCAATCCGGCGAACCGTTGTGGATTCCTAGCTCGGATAATTCTTCCGAGACATTAAATGAGGAAGAGTATGGGCGGGCCTTCCCGCGTGGGATCGGGCCCAAGCCTTTGGGCCTGAAATCCGAAGCCTCTCGGGAGTCCGCGGTTGTGATCATGAATCATATCAATCTTGTGGAGATACTCATGGATGTGGTACTAACTACTTTGTTTCTTCATAATTTGTCCTTTTTTTTTTCTTTTTTTTGTGCTATGTTAAATTGTGATTTTGCAGAACCAATGGTCAAGTGTGTTTGCTAGCATTGTTTCAAGAGCTGTGACTTTGGATGTTTTGTCCACTGGTGTGGCTGGCAACTACAATGGAGCACTACAAGTTGTATGTGTCCAAAATAAAATAGTCATAAATTTAATTAATTTCCCTC